CATGAGAGGGAGGAAGGTCAGAGGGAGAAGCAGACTCCCCGCCGAGCAGGGAGCCCGATGCGGGACTCGATCCCGGGACTCCAGGATCATGACCCGAGCCGAAGGCAGTCGCCCAACCAACTGAGCCACCCAGGTGCCCTAAAGTACCTCAGTTTTGTGAGACATAATTTGGAGGTAGAAAACTCACTTCCCTCAAAATCTTAAGTTAGTTTAATTCTTTTTTTTACCCAGCTTTATTGAGACATAATTGACAAGTAAAGTTGTATATATTTGAAGAAGTGATTAACACAGGTTAATTAAGACATCTACCACCTCACATAGTTACTTTTTGTTTTTGTGTGTGTGTGGTAAGAATGCTTAAGACGTACTCTTACAAATTTCAAGTGTACAGTACTATCAACTGTAGTCACCATGCTGTACATTTGATCTTCAGAACTTATTATAACTGAAGGCTTACAGCATTTGATCAGCATCTCCTCATTTCCCCTATCCCCAACCACCATTCTACTCTCTGCTTCTAGGAGCTTAATTTTTTTTTTATTTAAGATTCCACATATAAGTGAGATCATACAGTATTTGTCTTTCTCTGGCTTATTCACTTAGCATAATGTTCTCTAAGTTCATCCTTGTTATCAAATAGGATTTCATTCTCTGTCATGGCTGAAATAAATACACAAACACACACACACATATACATCTCCTTTATCCATTCATGTCAGTGGATACTTTGCTTTTTTCCATATCTTGGCTATTGTGAATAAGCTGCAGTGAACATGGGAGTGTAGATATCTCTTGGGGATAATGATTTCGTTTGCTTCAGATATATACCCAGAAGTGTGATTGCTGGATCATATGGTAGTTGTTTCTAATTTTTTTGAGTAGCCGCCATACTATTTTCCATAGTAGCTGCACCAATTTGCATTCCTACCAGTGGTATGTAATGGTTCCCTTTTTGCCACTTCCTTGCCAACACTTACCATCTCTTATCTTTTTGGTAAAAACCATCCTAACAGGTGTGAGGTGATCTCTCATTGTAGTTGTTTTTTTTTTTAAGATTTTATTTATTTGACAGAGAGAGACACAGCGAGAGAGGGAACACTAGCAGGGGGAGTGGGAGAGGGAGATACAGGCTTCCCATGAAGTAGGGAGCCTGATGCGGGGCTCGATCCCAGGACCCTGGGATCATGACCCAAGCCAAAGGCAGACGCTTAACGACTGAGCCACCCAGGCGCCCCTGTCATTGTAGTTTTGATTTGCATTTTCCTAATGGTTAGTGATGTTGAGCACCTTTTCACAAAAATACCTTTTGGCCATTTGTATGTTTTTTTGGAAAAATGTCTTTACAGGCTTTTTGTCCATTTTTTTTTTTTTTTT